TAGCCAAGGACACAAATAATTTAATGTCGTTTTAAGTCTTCGATGTTATTATCGTGAGACTTGAAGAAATTTACCCATTAAACTATTATACTATTATTCATTATTATACATTACACTACCCCATATTTTCCCATGGGTGTCGTAAGAGGTGACAGAGGGACACAGAAAGGAGATGGGCAGCAGCATCTTCCTAATAACAACAATAACATAATAAAAAACTGCGGTTGCCAACCCGCTCGCCAAGCGTGGCAACTATGGCAAATATCCCCCCATGAGCAACGACGCAAATAAACGACCCCCAGTCCCCGGCGGCCTCGCTATTCCTGGCTACGGTGGCGACCATGGTAACGGCGGGGCAGGGGTGCTAAGAATCTCCGGTGGAGGTTCGGTTGCCACCTACGACGACTCGACCTGGACTGACGAGAAGATCCTGGAGCTGGAAGAAGAGATAGACAAGTTGCGCTGGAATATTATAGGATTATCCGAGGTCCGAAGAGAGGGGGAGGACACGGTGATTCTCGAATCCGGTAACTTGTTCTATCACCGGGAGGGCGACCATCTGTACCAAGGAGGTGTCGGATTTATCGTCCACAAGTCTCTCGTCAACAACGTTGTAAAGATTGGGAGTGTGTCGACGAGGGTCGCGTACCTGATATTCAACGGTATTCGCTGAAGGTCATACAGGTCTACGCACCAACCTCGGCACATCCCGATGAGGAGGTGGAGGAAATGTATGAGGATATTTCTAGAGCCATGCATTCCTCCAAAACCCACTAGACGGTGTTGATGGGAGACTTCAACGCAAAACTAGGCACAAGAGAAGGCGGTGAGCTGAAGTTAGGGAAATTTGGAGTAGGGCAACGGAACCGTAGGGGCCAGCAGCTGGCTGACTTTATAGAGAAAGAGGGACTCTTTATCATGAACTATTTCTTCCAGAAGCGGCCCCACAGGAAGTGGACCTGGTCGAGCCCCGACGGATCGACAAAAAATGAGATTGACTTCATTATGACGACCAGACGCCAATTGTTCAGTGATGTCTCTGTGATCGCAAAGGTGAAAACTGGCAGCGATCACCGAATGGTGAGAGGCACACTGAACCTAAACGTTAAGTTGGAGAGGTCTCGTCTAATGAAGTCAACGCTCCGTCCCCCTTGTGCTCTAATACAGAATCCCGAGACTTTTCAGCTCGAGTTACATAACCGCTTTCAGTGCCTACAAGATTGCAATGCAGTGGACGATATGAATGACAAGCGCGTGGAAACTGTCCATGCGGTCGGAGCTAAGTTCTGCTAAGACCCGCCGCAGAAGAACAAAAAAACTCTCCGATCACACTCTTAACCTCTTGGCTGTTAGACAAGAGATGAGGCTGCAATCGTCAACAGATTTGACAGCATACAGGCAACTGAACAGACAGATCTCCAAATGCATGTGGTGAGACTTACGCAACTTTAATACTGCTCGTATTAAAGAAGCGATCGAGCAGAACCAGGGCTCCAAAGTCTTTGCCATAGATCTGGCTGCCAAAAAGATCCAACTGTCAGTCTGAAGACTGAGTATGGCAGCATCGTTTCCGAGACACCTGAGATTTTGAGTGAGATTGAGAGGTTCTATGGGCAGCTGTACACATCATCGTTGGAGCCACACGCAAGTGTGAGTAACGATCCAAGAGCAAGTCTTATCCGACACTATTCCGATGATATCCCGGACTTCAGTATGAGCGAGATTAGAATGGCTCTCCAGCACCTTAAAAACGGCAGGGCCCCAGGCGAGAATGGAATCACAGCGGAGCTTCTGAAAGCGGGTGGAACACCGGTACTTGAAGTCCTTCAGAAGCTCTTCAATTTCGTCCTCCATGGTGGCACTACTCCGGAGCCGTGGAGCAGAAGTGCGGTGGTCTTGTTTTTTAAGAAAGGCGACAACGCTCTCTTGAAGAACTACACACCGATTTCTCTTCTGAGCCGCGTCTACGTGCTGTTTTCGAGAGTCATTACGAATAGTCTCGCACGCAGACTCGACGACTTCCAGCCTCCCTAACAAGCCGGTTTCCGAAAAGGCTTCAGTACCATAGACCACATACATACCCTGCAGCAGATTGTACAGAAGACCGAAGAGTATAATCTGCCACTTTGCCTGGCGTATGTGGAGTATGAGAAAGCCTTTGATTCCGTTGAAATTTGGGCGGTGCTATAGTCCCTTCAGCGGTGCTAAGTTGACTGTCGGTATATTGAAGTGCTGAAGTGTTTGTACAGTAGGGCTACGAGACACACTACAACTGCAGAGAGGTGTAAGACAGGGTGACGTGATATCCCCGAAACTCTTCACCTCTGCATTGGAAGACGTTTTCAAACTACTGACTGAAAAGGATGCGGTATTAACAAGTACATCACTCACCTTCGATTTGCCGACGATATAGTCCTTATGGCAGAATCGCTGGAGGACCTTAGCACTATGCTCAATGACCTCAATGGTGTCTCCCAACGGATAGGTCTTAAGTTGAACATGGACAAAACAAAGATCATGTTTAATGTCCATGTCACACCTATGCCGGTAGTTGTTGGGAGCACTATGCTCGAAGTTGTTGACGAGTACGTTTACCTGGGACAAATAGTCCGACTAGGTAAGTCCAACTTCGACCGAGAGGTCAATCGACGGATTCAACTCGGCTGGGCAGCGTTCGGGAAATTACGACACATCTTCTCGTCAGGTATACCTCAGTCTCTAAAAACTAAAGTGTACAACCAGTGCGTGTTGCCAGTGATGACTTACGGATCAGAGACGTGGTCCTTCACTGCTGGCCGTATGAGGACGCTCAAGGTCGCTCAGCGAGCTATGGAGAGGGCTATGCTCGGAATTGCTCTGCGTGATAGACTCAGAAATGAGGATATCCGCATTAAAACCAGAGTGACCGACATAGCCCAACGGATTAGTAAGCTGAAGTGGAAATGGGCCGGCCATATAGCGCGAAGAACCGATAACCGATGGGGAAGAAAGGTTCTCGAGTGGCAGCTTCGTACCAGTAGGCGTAGTGTAGGGCGAGCCCCCACTAGATGGAGTGACGACCTGGTAAGACATGCAGGAAGTTGATGGATGCATGTCTTACCATCCCAAATCGAGAAAATGATTTAACTGCCCGCTGTGTCACGACCACACAATCGAACGTCGTAGTTCCTTTAGTAACTAATAGATGGCGATATAGACGCGTACTTGCGGAACTGTTTTACCGACTCGGGTGCACGTCGCTACATGTTCGCGTTTAATATTACCGTAGAGGCGGGTTACTTTGACCCTAGGGCATTACTTTGGCCCAAATCGAGAAAATGATTTAACTGCCCGCTGTGTCACGACCACACAATCGAACGTCGTAGTTCCTTTAATAACTAATAGATAGCGATATAGACGCGTACTTGCGGAACTGTTTTACCGACTCGGGTGCAAGTGGCTACATATTCGCGCCGTTTAAACTTTTGACAATAAAACCGGCGTATTTTTCTGCTGCATACTTTGGTGTTCGAAGCTGTATTTTGGTAAGTTTTCAAATTGGATTGTTATTTATTTTCTTAAGCATGTATGTAGGAGTATGGCAATTGTTTTTTTAAAGACGATTTACTTATGTGTTGGGATTTAATGATAGATCTAGAAAATCGGTATACATTGACCATCTTTTTGGGTAACTTTGGGCCTGGGGGGCTAAAGTAACCTTGCAAAGTTTATTAGTGGAGAACTTTACATTTTTGATCAATTTTTTACAGAATTAAAACACAGAGCTACATTCCTGATGCCATCCGTGTACAGACGAAAGGCTGGCATTCGTAGATATGTCGACTACATCCAGCCAGATTTAAAAAATGTCTGGATGCAATCCAATCCAAAGTGCTTACACAAAGAGCGGCTGCAGAGTTATTTAACATTCCTCGCAGCACTTTGAAAAACAAATTAACCCGGAAGTACCCTAATAAACCGGGTAAACCTACAATTTTTACTGAATAGGAAGAAAAGGCGTTTGAAGCTCACATAACTGCGCTCTCGGAATATGGGTTTCCGCTGACAGCATTCGACCTAAAAATGATAATCAAAAATTACCTTGAATCCCAGGGAAGAGTTCTAAAAAATTTTAAGAACAACATTCCTGGTAAAGACTGGTTGGCTTTTTTTTTCACGAAATCAATCTCTTTCACGGCGACTTGCTAACAATATCAAAAGAGTCCAAACTCAAGTGTCGAAAGATGTCATTTCCAATTTTATAGAAAACATCAATAAAGAACTAGAAAGCGTTCCACCCGAAAACATATTCAACTACGATGAAAGCAACCTTTGTGATGACCCAGGAAAAAAGACTGTATTATGCAGAATAGGAACACAATATCCGGAAACAATAGTAAACGCTACAAAAGTTAATTTTACTGCCATGTTCTGTGGCAACGCCGCTGGGGAAACAGTTCCACCGTTCATTGTTTATAAGTCGGATCATCTCTGGTCGACTTGGACTGAAAATGGTCCCTAAGGCGCTCAATATAATAAGACAAAGAGCGGATGGATGGACAGCGCAACTTTTGAAGACTGGTTTCTCAATCATCTTTTGCCAGTTCTTAAGAAGAAAAATGGTAGAAAAGTGGTGTTTGGAGACAACCTTGATTCATACATTAATAAAACAGTTTTCAACGAGTGTGAGAAGCACAATGTTAGTTTTATTTGTTTGCCACTCAACGCTACACATATACTTCAGCCACTAGACGTCGCATAATTTCGACCTTTGAAGTGCAAGTGGCGGCAAGTATTACTTCAATGGAAGAACAGTCAACTGGGTAGGAAACTGTAGACTACAAATAACTATCAGTTTCCACGACTATTGAAAACGGCTTTGGATTCTTTGACCGAGACCAAGGCGAATTTAATTGCTGGTTTCAGAAAGAGAGGCATATACCCCATTGAGAAAGAAGAGCCTTTAGCTAGATTACCCAAACAAGATCGAATAATAAACGCAGGTCTTATAGGGATTTTTTATGCATAAATTGGTGCAGTACCGAGTTGAGGCGTGCCCAGAACAGAAAACAATTAGGAAAAAGAAACTTAATATACCACCTGGAAAATCAACCTGTGCCACTGATCTTGCAGAAGCAGGTCCATCGGGTTTACAGCAGGATAAAACTATAAAAGAAAAGAAAAGGGCAACAAAACGAATACAACGCAACGTCTCTTCATCTTCAAGGTGCAGTGACAGGAACATCAGTCTAGCTTCTTCCACTGAAGACCACATAATGCCTTATGACTCTGAGGATGATGTTCTTCTTGCCAACTATGTGAGTCAGATTAGTGATACTGATGCACCTGCATTTCGACATTTGCCTGATCTTCAGCAGGAGAGTGAAGTAGAAGATTATACGTTCGTACGAACGTTATACGTTCACACAGAGCATAGGTGCATTTGGTTCATCAATAAAATTGTAACAGCATAATTTTCTAAACTGCACAGTGACAAAGTTAAATATGCAGCTGGGAGTCCACTGTTTATTGCGACGTTTCGTTAACCACTTTACAAGCTCCATCAGCTAGCGGCCCCCCCAACACTAAGGTAAATAGCACAGATATTTATTTTTTATCCTCCTCACTCACCGTCGCCACAGCACGAACGCACCTGAAGTGTGCCCGCTCTCGTGACATCGAAGAAGGGTGTGTGTTCCAAGTCATGAGCGTACAGCTGTCACCACCAGGACTGAGCGGCTCGCTTACAAATTTAACAAGAAATGAGGCTGTAGTGGAGGACCAAATCACCTACCGAAAACGCAAACAGCCTGAACCTAACTGCAGTTGTACCCAAGAGATACAAGAGTTTCGAAAGAAGTTACGTATCTATGGGCTAAATTCACAAAAACACAAGAAGAAACATTGTATTTTATGCACAATAATTTAGCCGAAGTTAATTCCAAACTAAATGAAATAAAATTATCTATGGATACACTTGCCAAGGAACAGAATATACTAAAATCCCAAGTCTCAGATTTGGTTAAAAAAACTGTATAATGCAGATACCAACATTCTTAAACTGGAAACAAAAATTGCCAATATCAAACAATTGAACATAGATAAGAACCGTGAAGAAAAAAGAATGCAAGAAATGAGAGAACGCATAATTCGAGAAAAAAATAATGTTGTTGTCGGTGTAAGAGAGTATAAAGACGCAAACACAAATGAAGCCTACTCCCATGATATGACAGATACCAAAACGTCATCTCTAATAAATTTAACCTTAACTTCTTTTATGCTAATGCCAGAAGTATCTGCAAACCAGGTAAATTTGATGAACTCGGGTGCATTATCGAAGCGAATTAAAAAAATATATATAATATTACTGACTGAGACCTGGATAAGATCAGATGACCAAGTGGCACGTTTTAATATAACGAACTATTCGCACTACTACAACATTCTATCGGATGTCATTGGTGGCGGAAAATCCATTTTTGTGCAATAATCTAAAGCATGACTTAAGCATGGAATCTTACACTGGCGGAAAGAACTACTTATGGATACATCTTGAAAAACATGCACTTGATGTAGGAATTGTGTACAAACCAGGTCACTCGAATCTTAACAATTTTCTCAACACATATCAACTACAACTGCAGCAAAGAAAAAGAGCAATTGCCTTTGGTGATACGAATATAGATCTTTTGGTATCCGATAGTAAGACTACGCTGTATAATAATCTACTAAAGGAAACAACCAACGTCGAGAACTATTATTGATCATGTTGCTACAAATCTTAATAACCGAAAATTTCGTATGGATATCATTGAATCTTCTTTTTCAGACCATAAAAATATCTATGTAGAAATGAAAATAGTGAAATCACCACGAATGCAAAAGTTACGATACGAAGCTACTAACTATGAAATGTTATACAAGCGCACCAGAGAACATGAGCTTGAAAATAAAGACCGTAATTTTGGAACTCTAGAAAAATTTATAAAGAAAAATTTATCAGAAAGTAAAGAAATAAAATATAAAATTATCAATCAACCTCAGAAAAAATGGGTTAGTAAAAAAATCATAATCTGTATCAAAAAGAGGAATCAATTGTCGAGTAAACTAAAGCAGAACCAGAAAATAATGAACTAAAATCAGAATATACTAATGAAAAGGCAAAAGTGGCGAGACTTATCAAGACTTCGAAAAGCAGATATTATTATGGAGAGTTTGAAAAATGTAAAAGTAAACCTAAAAAGATGTGGAAGCTGATAAATATACTTTCTAAAAATAAACCTATTGTAAGCTGTGTTCCCCCATATCATAAATCAGTTAACGGCTTAGTTAATAAAGACCCTGTGGCTATCTGTGAGTTGTTCAATAGGTTTTTCTCAAATATTGGTACGCAACTGGCAAACAAAATAATGCCCAATTATCATAACAACGATACATACACAAGGTTACAAGTCAAAACAAACACGCAGTCTTCAAACAATGTGATCAAAATGAGATAGCTAATATCATCGATGGTCTGGAAACTAACACTAGTACAGGCATTGACTCCATTAGTACTAAAGCAATTAAGTGTATTAAAAATCTTATTATTCCCAATCTCACTGACTGTCTCAATAAATTACTGGTACAAGGTATATTCCCAGATAGTCTAAAAATAGCTAAGGTCAGTCCGATCTATAAATCTGGTGTAAAAACAGATCTAGAAAACTATCGGCCTGTGTCGGTTTTGCCAGTGCCTTCAAAAATCTTGGAGAAAGTAATCTACAAACGACTGAATGACCACTTGACTAAAATCAATTTTTTGTGTGATCAACAATACGGCTTCCGATCAAAATTAAATACTCTTTGTGCAGCTATTGACTTAGTTACTAAAATAAAAACTAAAATAGATCAAAAGCAGCTTGCGCTAGGTGTGTTCATTGACCTAAAAAGGCCTTTGACACAGTGAGTCACTCGTTTAAACTGAAAAAGTTAGAAAGTATTGGTGTAACTGACACGGCACTCCAGATGTTAAAATCTTACACTGAAAATAGATACCAGATTGTAAGGATTGGGAAATTATCAAAGTAACTCCTTACCTATAAATTGTGGAGTACCACAAGGTTCTATTCTTGGCCCGCTATTGTTTTAGTTTATGTTAACAATATTTGTGAAGTAAACTTACACGGCCATCTCACTCTGTATGCAGACGACACATGTTTATTCTACTTTGGACAGAATATAAATGACCTTACTACGCTTGCTCAACAAGATCTCAACACACTACACAGATGGTTCCAGTACAAACTATTAACAATAAATACCGCCAAAACATCTTACGTACTATTTAGTGCAGTAAACAAAAAAAATTCAACACCACACAAAATTACACATTAACTGAGAAATATTACGCCAGTCTAATCAAGAAAAATACCTTGGGCTATTGCTAGATAAACATCTGTCATGGAACGTTCATTTATCAATTATAAAAAATAAGCTTTCACCTCTAATAGGTTCTACATACGGCATAGCATGATGTATACCACCGAAAGCTCGCCCTTTGATCTATAATGCACTGATTAAACCACAATTAATTTACTTAATAGAGATATGGGGTACATCAGCCAAAACTTTACTATAAAAGGTACAAGTATTGCAAAATAAATTAATAAAAATTTTATATCACTACGACTTTTTAACTTCGACCATAACAATATACCATGAGACGAAATTACTAAACATCAAACAATTATACATCTATAACACATGTATATTAATATATAAAATCATACACAATATGATGCATTCAAATATGTGTAATATTCACCACAAAAGGAGAAACACTAAAATACTCATCACGCCGCGAAAACCATCTTGTATTACCAAATATTCGCACTAATTATGGAAAAAATGCCGTGAAATTTGCGGGAGCACAGTTGTATAATAAACTCCCTTCAATTATAAAAAATGCAAGTTCGCTCAATATTTTCAAAAAAAAAATTTTAGACCACATTAAAAAACAAGACATTATATAACTTGGACCACCGTCTTATATTATCAATACTTGAAGCATCGCTCTTACGCAGTTAACTTGCAACTTCTATATATCTAATTTTGATCTACCCTAATTTATGTTTACCATTTTATTATATTGTTCTGTGTGATTTATTTTAAATTGTATGAATGTACTCATGTAAGTGACATTAGTCTTAAATAGTAAATAAAGATCTTTAAACCGAAGAGGAGTGTAGCTCTCCTGTTCTTCAAGTAACAGATGTAGAGCAACAGCTGTTTGATGCTTTTAAAGACTTCACTCCCCTTCAATCCATTGAGGATATACAGATCGTTGAAGAAAAATGTAGTGAAAGAGAGAAAATGCAGGTGGTTGTAGCAGATTGTCGAGATAAAAACTTGCGGGTCTCGCCCGCATGTATAATCGGAAAGTTACCGCAGGATACGTTAGAGCCACCAGGTATTCGAGTAGGTTCACTTGATCTAGATGTTGTTGTAGGTGACCATGTTCTAGTAACATGAAACTCACGTACATATCCAGGTCGTCTTAGCAGTTTCCGAGGTAGGAGCCTTTATAACGTGCATGAAAAAAGGTAATACGTACTGGCGGTGGCCCACGATAAAAGATGAACAACTTTATGGTTGGGACCACATAGTGTGTAAGATTGGACCTCCAACATTGAAGAAAAAGGGTTGTTTCTCGGTTCCAGAAAAGAACGTGTAATAAGAACTAAGAGAAGAAAATTAGATTACCTATGCTACTAGTAAACTTTGATTCTCATTTAAACAAGACTGAAATTATAATTTAATTAGACTGAGAAGTAAAATATATGTTTGAAAATGTTACCTAATTAAACTAAGATTATATTATTGTTGTATTTCTGTAAGTTTGCTACTGAGTTGAGATAGTGTTAAGAAATTTACTTACTGTAAACCTTTTTGAAATATATAATATTGATTTTACATCGTGTTTTAATTTATTTTGAACTTTTTTCTTACATTAAATCTCTCTTGGATATTAAATCTTTCCGCCCTTGATGGTTTCTTTGGCCAATAATAGCTGCAAGTGCGATTTTTCAGCGATAAAGTTCATGGGGTTAAATTAACCCTTTCCTAAGAACAACTTTGGCCCAAACTTGAAAAAAAAAACAAGTTACTGTTATCATATTTCTAAAATACACTTCGCATCTTGTTGAGTACATCCTCGAGCTTCTTCTTTATAACAAATAAGAACACTAAAAGGACAATACCAATACAAACCACAGATCAAATTCGTAAAATAACTGAAAAAAAAACAGCTAAAGTAACCCGCCTTTACTTTATATTTTTTCCATCTAATCTGATATTTTTCTTTTTTTTTTTAAACTTGAATTAGGGGTCAAGAAAACCAAACTAGAAAATTATCATTTTTTGATGAACGAAGCGGTACATGTTTTTTTATAATTTCATAATTGTTTTCATAAAATAAATTAACTGACTCTTC